ATTCTCTTAGACTACCAATAAAAACAAAACAAAACGAAAACCCTTGTTCAAGGTACATACAATATTTATGAAGCTACCGACGTCACGATGATGCGACCAGGGTAATGCGCGCGGTCCCCATCCCTCGGTGCCGCCACCTTTCATGGTTCAGACTCTGGTTCCCCAACAGGCTTAGCAGACGAGACTGGTCTGATGCAGATGAGCACGACACAACAACGAAAAAGCAGAAACCCCCAAACTCTGGGGGAGGGAGCAGACATATCTTGGTGAAAATTCCTTTTCCTCAAGGTATTTCCGTTCCCTTTGGCCACTTCTGCTGTCCAATATGCAGGTTGAATCAAATGGTTTTGTAAGGGAGACGGGCCAGTGGGGGTGGGGTGGGGAAGAAAGGTGAGTGTCCTCCCAACTGGGTGAGGGACGCCGCCAGGTCTGAAAGGACCCACCATGATCAGCAGAGAGAACAGAGCGCTTTCCTCCCCGAAGCCCCGGCTCACCTCCACCTGCGAGGAAAGGCCCAGGTGGCCGCAGACCGAAGCCTCCCGGTGTCTCCCCGTTCCTCCCCCCTTGCCCTCCACGGACCCACATGGAGCTCTCCTGCACTTCTCACATGGGCATTGGTAGGAAAAGGCTAAGATTTCTCCGCAGGGCAGCTGAACCAAAGTTTGCACAGGAAAGCAAGGGCACCATATATTATAAATCTTCCATATCGGGTTAATATATAATACTAGAACATCTCATTCACTTAACTCACGTTATGGAAACCCTGGACAGGGTAGAACACAAATGTTTCCAAAGCGATCAACATCGGGATGAAGGAGTGTTCTACCTTCTGGCCTCAGAAAAGATTTATTTTTTTTAAGGGGGTGGGTGAGATCAGAAGAGCAAAGGGTGCAGTGGAAAGAGAATGGAAAGGTCAGGGGAGATTAAGATAGGCAATGAGAGGAATGGATTACTCTGTACAAAGACATGCAAAAACGCTCCAAATTGAGTACTAGGTGAAGAAAAAATAAACAATCAGCCTTGGTGTGTACATCTCAAGTGAACCGACGAGCTCAGCACATTGTCCGGGAGTTCAAGAGCATCGTACCTCATGAATCAATGCTTCTCCCGGCGGCAGCACTGAATCACCGGCGGGCGGGGATGTTCTGACTCCTCGCACGGAAAAGGCAGGCAGCCAGGCTCCCACCGACACAGGGCCAGGCCAGGTCACCTTGCAGGGGGCTACCAAGAAGGTAGGGCTTTCCTCCCCACCCTCTTTTTGGAAAATGATGAGTGGGCCTCTCACACCTCCAGGGTCACCTCTCAACCCTCGAATCCCCTAACAGATTGGGCAGAGCTGGGTACTAACGGATTGATTTGCCATCTTCCTTGTGCATTATTTCAACATCACATTTGGCAACAGGAAGCCTTATAAAGTCTTGGTATAGCACTTAGATACTCTCTCTCTTCAAGAAATATATTTTTATACTCTCTATGTCTCTCCATTTTTGTTAAAATACCTTTTTCGGTTCTTCCTTCTCTTCAAAGATTTTTTTTTAAAAAATGAAGCTAAAAAAAAAGCATTAAAAAACTTAGAAATGTCCTTAAGCATCCCTGTTATTTAAAGGGGGAAATGCTACTATTAGCAGACTCTGTGCAATTTTGGCAACTGAGTTTTTAATGAAAGATTCTAATATGATGTTTGAGAAATGATTGTAATATACACATACTGGAGGAACTTAAAAAAATCTCAGGTAAATCGCTTTTCTCTGACCCCGAGAATCCTTGCTCAAAGTGCTTTCTTCCCAGTACCCAGACTGGTTCAGGAACCTGCTTAGCACACATCTGTCAAATCAGACCTGTGAAGGTGTCTACCTCTAAATATGCTTTGTTTCTCTCTTTCCATAAGGTCACATCAAAGACGACACCTACATGTGTCTTATTTGGTTGACAAATCTATTTGCAATGTAACTGTTGCAGCCGGATCAACAGCATCTATCAGACTGGCCTGGGGGAGCTGGAAGGAAGTGTGGGGTCCCCAAGTTCCATATCGAAGGTCACAAATAGACCTTGCACTTACTTTAGTCACTAATTAGCCACTTGTCAACCGTCCTTTATGTAGTTCAATATGCAGAAATAGCAGCCAATACAATGCCTACAGGTTACTTGGGCTCAAGGTATTTTGGAATATAACATTTTCACGTGTTTTTCCTCAGTACCTTTTGTCCCCTCGTCACTTGATTTTGTAAAGCTCATTGTACTTGTACTTGGGGAAATTCTCCCAATGTGGGGAATTTAACTCTTAGGTATAGGGTAGTCTCTGTTTCAGTGATTAGAATAAACACCCCCATGCCTTTTATTTTTTTTTAGATTGTCAGTCCAGTTTAAAAAAGAATGAAGGTTAATCTGTCACGTCACACTGTGGGTTTGGAGGTTTTCATTGAGAGATACAACTACACATGTAAAACAATGTTTGGATGCCAACGCTAAAAAACAAGCGCTTTTGTTTACCACCATGCACAACCAATTTGTTTACAATGTGAACTTTCTGAAGGGGAAGAAATATATTGTAAGGCTTCCCTTACAGAACAAGTCAGTGTCTATGCCACTGACGGGTGGGAAATTACAGGGCCATACCCAGTACTCCCCAAATGCATGGGTGTGCAACGGCAATACTTAAGTTCCAAAGATGCAAAGAATGCTGTCATAGCCAGCATCTCTCTACTGACCCTTTATTTAAGAAGTCATGTTGTTACTGTCCACTTAATGGCTGGAGAGGGCATCCAGAGGCAGCCCTGGGCTTAGCAAAGATGCAGTTTTGTGCGAGTGTGTATGGGTCTAAGTGGTGGGAGGGGAGGGAGAGGTGGTGGAGGGGGAGAGAGAGAGAGAGAGAGAGAGAGAGAGAGAGAGAGAGAGAGAGACTGATAGTGTGTGTACCTCAGGGAACGCAGTGGGAAAGCCTAGCCCTTGTACTCAATTTCCCCTTCACAAGGGATAAACAGGCAATTACGCATCCTTTTATATTTGATGGCCAAGTGCTGAACTGGAAAGCGCACTATTAGTTTGTGTCCCTTCAGGGCCAGGGCAATAAGTAGCCAGGGGAGCTGGGGCTGAAGCAGAGAGGGTGTTGTCTGCTGTTAGTGTGACAGTCTTGTCAGCAGCGTTCACATTACTGGAAGGTAATAAAGTGACAAGTAAGTTATTAGAAAGATATGAGGTGAAATTGAACCGAAGCTTCTCGCTGCTCAGCCCAGGCTTCCCTTTCCTCCTTTGTAACGGTCCATTATTTGTTACAAACTGAACCTTGTCTGGATGCTCCATATAGAAAAGAAGATTTTTTTTTTGCAGTAAAGGTCAAATGAATTTACAGCAATGCTTTAGAGAAGAAGAATAAAGATAGTTTTATGACAACTATAGTACGTTGCTTCAAAAAATATATAGCATTATAATGAACAATAACGCTGATCCAATTCAGTGTACTTGTAAAAATGCCTCGTTTTTAACTCCCTGTTACTAGGCATTTGGATTTTTCAACGAATGCCAAAAAGACAGTACTGATGTCCAGCTATGGCCGAATGACCACATCATTCTGTGCAAGATGTGAGAATAAGGATGACAGGGCCCGGGATGGATGGGTGTCTGGGCAAGAGTGATGATACATTAACGCACCGCTCACTTCTAGTTGGATTTACATAATTCTAATGGGAAATGAGCATTGGTGGTGAGCCACTCTCCAACTACAGGAAATATGAAAATGATTCTGGGACGGATCAGATGTGGCCTTAATACTAGCACAAGTAAGACTACAACACGTGGTTTAGCGTTGCCAGATGACGTGAAAACAGAGAAGTTAGTAGGATGTTTTGCAGGAAGGTAAATGAGCTCACATTTTGATCAAGAGAACTTCAGCCAAGTAGCATTACAATCATAGCTCTGGGGGCGAGCAAAAGCAGTGATGGAAAAGGATAGACCCAGCTGGCTACCCCTCACTTCTACTCATCACAGTCAGGACGAGGCTTGACCACAGGCCGTTACTATAACCTAGGTGGACCCATAGCATCTTTTTGCTTCCTAAGGGACTCCAGCATCACTCCACACGCCAAAAAGAGTCAGAAAAAAACCCTCATGACTGCCTTGTTGGCTCTCCTGACCCTAAGGACCGTGAGCTGTTCCACACAGCTGTCCTTGCTCTTCTCCTTCCTCACCTGGTACAGGCAGGGCACAGCATTAGCATGACCATGACCCCACCCACTGCCTGGCAGAATTGCACCAGCCTGGAACACACGCTTTCAGTGCATTTGCTATTTCTTTTCTAGCTACACCCGAACAGGGGGGGTGCCTCCTCTACTTAGCGTGCCTCACTCACTGGGCCTCTGGAACAGCTGGGGTTCCCTCTGGTCTCTGTGGCACCTGCCTTTTCTCGCCCGCCTTACCTGTGGAGACCCTTCCCATTAAAAAAAAAACACAACAAAATAACACAAAGAATTGAAAGGAAAAAAACCAAAATCCTTTAATAAATATTCCGAGTTTGAGGGAATATGTATTTTTTTAAAAAAATGAAATTTGTTAGTCAGAATTTTTAAAAAAGAAGTTCTTGAGAAAGGGAGCATGTTGATAGAAAGAAGGTAAGGTTTTTCTGGGTGATTTGTTTCTTTATGAGAGCAGATGTAGCGTGTCTTATTACAGTTGAATTCTATTTACTCTGTTAGTCAATCTAACTCAACACTAACAGTCCAAGTACAAGTTAGGACTGCTCAGGTCAACTGTTAGCAGTTAGCAGCACGTCCATCTCAATCTGGTTACCGGCTTCTTTATGTTCTAATTGCCAAGGGCTCCCCTCCTCATTTGCTTGGCACACATCTGGGGTGTGTACAGAGGATGGGGAACAAAAGGTCACATTTATTTTATTTGGTGAGAACCTAATGCATGGTTTCTCCTGAGTAAAATGAGGAGAATGCCTCTGGAACAGCCCATTCATGGTATAGTCAAAGCCTGTTTTTTTTTTGTTTGTTTTTTTAAAAAAGAGCAATGTATACACTAACAGGGCTGTTAACCAGTTAAGTGCCATTTGCCTCTTACTGAAAGGGCCTGGAAATTCACAACCAAAGGAATCATATACTACAAAGACAGTGGCACCCTTGTGTTAAAGACGTTTTCAAAAACAGATGTTTATCATCTCCAGAAGGAAAATATTAACACCTGTAAACCTTTAAAAGGTGACAGGATGAACGGGGTGGCTGGACTATGACCGGAAATGCGTTACATTGGGTTGAATTATTTCAATACAATTAATGGCAGAACAAAGAGTGTCAAGCTTTTTATCACATTTTAAAAACCAAATCACTTATTACCTATCCCTTTTCCTGCTCTTTGTCATCCCCCTCCATAGCATGCAGATATTCCCTAAAGCAGAAGCTTTTCTGATATTTACAAAAGCATAGTTTAAAATGATCAGAACAGTAATTTCAACATCGTCTACTGAACATGCACATTCATAATACTTCCTAATTTTGTACCTGTGACAAAAGTCTGGTTAAAACCAATCAAATGGGAAAAAGCCGCTTGGATGAAAACCAGCGTCATTATTAATTTTCAGCCAGCACAGAATGGATGCAGCTAGAGAGAAAACACTGCACAATAGGAATCTCCTGTGAAAAGCAAATGAGTAGGGATGGGCAAAGATGAAGGGCTCCATATGAACATGCTGATCTCTCTATCCTTCCTGTTTGCAAATAAGCTGTGGGATCACCTCTTAACTAGAGTGGTAGGTAAGTTAAAACATTGCACACAGGCACACACCCTAAACAAGCAATGCGTTGGGACTAAAAGCATTGTACGTTTCATGATCCACTCCCCGTCCCTTTTAGGCAAATCGGCTTTGTGTTGGAAAATGTTATTCACCCATGTAGAAGGCCACCATTCCATCTGGGCATTTGAGGCACAAAAGTAGCAATTTGGGAAGATATTTAAGTAGGGTGAGCTGTCTAGGACTCACTGCCATTTCTCTGACAAAATGCCGCCACGCACTTCCATGTTTCCAAGCGAGGGAATTTCTACTTTGGGAATCTCGCCGCATCTAGACTTGTTCTATCTGGCTATCCACCTTAGCCCGATTGTGGCAAGTAACACACATTAGTTCTAAGCCTGGTTCATTTGCTGATGTGACCTGCTGACTTACCTAGGTAAGTCATTCACTAGGGCTACCTGACCTTTCAGGTGACATTAAATTAAACAGGCTAAACATTGATTCTGTACAGGATGAGTTCCAACAGCTCAACCAAGAGTGTACCTTTAAAAAAATAAAAATGTGTTATTTTAATAAAACTGGGTATAATTCTGTCTCCACATACTCCAAAACAGCTAGTGTTTCTGTGATCTCCTGTTGGGATGCTAAAAAAATTTCCCCCACCCTTCTGAACGGAACCACTTGGTAATGGGTCAACAGCGCAACACAGAGAACGCTAGGAGGACCAACATGTTTGCAAACAAACTTTCATTATTCTAGTTCAATCTTTCACAAACATACTGTACAGAGTCTAATATGGTATAAAACAAAAGGAAACATCTCTGTCTATTCCATTTAACACAACATCAAAATAAAGCCATTAGGACTTTGGGGAATCCAAAGGTACAAGAAAACAACAACAGTTATTACTAATTCCTCAGCTTTTTACCGTAAACATTTGTCATTTAAGAGACATAGTGTTTAGTAAGGTTTCTTTTGTACTGCAAGTACTTTTGGTCTTTCCTCACCGTGGAACAAATGAAGAATTAAATGAACCCCATAGCATCCTCTGAAGGAGATGAAAAGATAAAGCTCCAAGACACATCTAGCTTATCTCTAAGAATCTATTGTTTCTGAACTTTTCACAAATAAAAATACTGAATCCACAACTAATGATGCTTATTTTTTGGAAACAATAAATACTGTGAGGTACAATAAATCCTATAGGAATAACAACAACAGAAACATATCAATAGTTTCCTTTGGCAAATTTAACGGAAGTGAATGCTGATGTGAACATAGAAAAAAATAATTACAAAACATATGAAAAATGGAAATGAAATGAAAAGCTAAAACAAAGGGGGTCGGTATTTCTAACATTTAGATTGATGAGAAATGTTTGAGGCCATTAAATGCAGAAAAGAAATACATTCTCTTGAAATTACTGTGTACTGTTTGATAAACTATTCCTTGTTTATCTTTTTCCCCCCTTCACTTAAGAAAAAAAAAAGACAACAAAACACAGTCTGCAATGCACACCCTAATGGTTTTGGCTGCAGACTGAACTTGAGTAAATATCATCATTTAGTCAGTATGTTGTGGTAGCTGAGGCTGCCGATGTGGTTAACCAGCTCAGGCAACATGTGTAAACATCAGAAACAAAACAAAACAAAACAAAACAGGTTTGGAGAATCATCTCCCCTCCACCCCCCCCCCCTTTCTCACTCTCGATTGCTTGGTTTTAGGCTTGTTTTCATTTCTCTCCGACAAATCGCGCAGGGAAACACAAAACACTAACCAGTGAGAGATCCTGTGTTAAACCCCCGTTCTCTGGCTTTTCAGAAGGGAGTGTTGCTCAATTCAAGGTCAGCACATGTTTTAAAAGCTTCCAAGTGCGGCTGCTGTTCAATGCCTTTTGATTTTGTGTATCAAAGGGGCCTGAATCACAGCACTACTGAAGGACTTGCAACAAATCAGACAGCCATACAACAGCCCAGCCCAGCTCAGACTTTCTCTGTCTTTTTAAAGGATACGGGTTAGGTCCTTGGAAATGTGTGCTCAACTCTCTTACTGTATGCAGCTTTGTTCCATAGTGAGTAATTTGGGCTTTTGTATCCTGAAATATTATCCTGCCTCTAAAGAATAAATGCCGTGGCTGTTTCACACCACATAATTTTGTTTTCCTTTTATGTTACTTAACATATAAGCAAGAAGGATGCAATGTTGATTCTAATAACATTCGGCACTTGAAAGAATCACCAAGTGTTTCTTTTTTTTAAAGCGGTTTTCTGGTGGCCGACAAATTGGCCTGTGGTTATGTTGAGTGACTAATTGTATTTTCTTTTCTGGAAACTTGTGCAAAGTTGGCAGTTTTGTGTTAACATTAATACTTTTGTTTGGCATTTGTGCCCTATACTGACCAGACCATTTTTATGCAAGTGAATTTTTTTGTTGTTAAAAAAAGACACTTATTTAAAGTATGGCAATAGTTTAAGGGTAAAAAAGAAGCATGGATATTACACATCCCCTTGTAGTGTATGAAAAAAAGTGCATGACGGGATTTATGTACTAGTACAGGACGTTTAAAAAATCAGATCTGTGCTGTAAAGCATGCCAGCACCTCTTTATCACTATATCTAGCAGGTAGTAAAAACAAGACCATGTTTTTTGTTTGTTTTTTTAAAAAAATGTGCATTAATGCTAACATAAATGAGTAGAGCTAGCCAGCAAACTATTTTTTTCCTGCATATCTAACAGCTGGATGTAACTGTAAAAGTTAAACAAAAGAGATAAACAACATCAATACAATTGTTTTACATCATTAGCCTCTCAAGGCTATATATTTACAGGTGAATCTGCCATGCTGTAGTTGAAGATTCTCTCAAAACTTTAAAGTTCACAAAAGACAGCTATTAAGAAGTTCCTTTTTTGTTTCATTTTTCTTTTTTTTTTATCCCTTTTCTTTCTTTCTTTCTTTTTTTTTGCAGGCAACAGTCATGGGTACAACAAACTGTCTCTTTGGAGAGGACCAAGAATTACCAATCTGTCAAAATTTGGGCTACTTGCACGCTTTATGTGTGTGTATGTGTCTTTAAAGGGTACTTAGCTTTCACTCTCAAATGAAAGGTCCCACCCCTTTTCCAAAACTATAAAGGAAAAAAAAAATTCAAAAGCACTTAGTGTTTACCATTTTATATCTAAAGAAAAGAAAATGTGTGTGTGTGTGTGTGTATGTAGATGTAGAGGCATACGTGTGTACACGTACACACACACACACACACAAGTACACAAGCACACACTGACTATGGCAGTTCAAATATGTAGGCCGTCTGGTGAGAGCTGGCATTGGTAGTGTCCGTTCTGAGACTAATCTACTGACACGAAGGGAATGTTTTTGTGGAGATTAGGGTTCTGACTGTGCCGGTTTCGGCTTCGCACAGAGGAAAACATCATGTTGCAACCGGGGACTTTGCACTTGTGCATTTCCCGCAAATGCACCGTTTTGTAGTGCACCCTCAGGGTCCCCTTGTTGCTGTACATTTTGTGGCAAATGTTGCACATGATCCCACCATTGCTCCCGGACAAGCTGTTGAACATCAGAGATCCCGACACTTCAGCCCCCAGGCCGCCGGGGAGGGCGGGGGCCTCGGCCTTGTGAGCGGACTCCCCACTGTCACTCGCCCCGTCGATGTCGTCGAGAAGGATGCCCTCGTCGCTGCCCGCGTCGGACTCTCGGGAGGAGTGGATGCTGCTGCTGGACTGCAGGCTGGAGGTGGTGCTCAGGTCCAGGACCATGTAGTCCTCCGCCATGCCGCGCCCGTACCCGTTCAGGTGCGAGTCTTCGGTGCCGCGGGGGAGGAGGCCTCTTCCCTGACGTCCAGGCCCAGGGGGTGCTGGGCTCCATAGATCTTCATCAAAAACTCATCCCGGAGGTCCTTGCTAAGGGAGGGCTGCGAGGAGTCCAGGCCCATGTCATCGAGTTCTTTGGTCAACAGTTTCCGATGCAGATTTATGTTGGCACTGTGTCTAGGAAAACAAGGGGGAAGGGGGGTGAGGGGTGGGTCGCGGGTAGCGGGCGGGAAGGGGGAGAAAAAGGAGAGCATTTTAAAATGGATTCGGCTTTTCGCTAGGCATCAAATAAGCACATTCATTGCTAATTACACCATTATAAAAGCAAACATTTCCCCACATCCTCAGGATTTGGGAATAAGTGGTGGTGGGAAGTGCAATAAGGGAGCTTTTCATTAACATAATTTTTATAAGAGAGTAAAATTCTTCAATGGTAGGGTGAATGCGAACCCAGGCACCTTTTTCTCAATGATTGTTCTGTTTGCTTCGCTAGGTAGCAGCATCAGCTACAGACAATCTCAAAGCAGAGGTTTTAGAACAGAAATTAAGTGGGATAAAAGAATGAGAACTTGCTGCTTATCAAAACTGAATATTTTAAATTGACCTAAAAACAGAAAACCTTTTTTTTTTCTACAGCAAACACTTCATTTAAAAAGGATCCACTTTAAAAATAGTATATAATCTAGGTAATTTAGGTTTAACTTAGAAAATAATGAAATCTTGCCCCTCACCTTCCCACACTTCAAGTTTTAGGTAGGAAAAAAAAATTAGCTGAGTATATTAGCAATTAGAAATAGGGTTACAGACTTTTTAACATAAATCCTTTTCCCCAGATTCACTGGGATATCAGCTAAATCTAATAGTAAAACATTTTACAATTTAAAAGTTTTCAGAAGTTGCTACATTTTAGAGTTGAAACATTTTCATTTAATTATTCTTTTTAAAGTTGAAAAACAGTTACTGCTTTTGGAAAAAAATAAAACCCACCCACCTTTAAAAAAAATCACATTAAACAATAGGAAACCCAAAGGGACAAAAGGAATAAAATGCCCACAATAAATACAAAAAAATAAATCAATCACAATGATAACATATGGTCTCTGTAGTGTAACAATGGAATCTGTATTTCTTAGACAAGCAAAACTTTTCCTCCACTCAGTGAGTGCTTTGCTTGTGTAAAAAAAGGTAGGATTTGTCCCAGAACATCCATAGGGATGTCATGACTTCCAAAACCTGACATGTCATTATCGATCTGAAAACATCGCCTTTGTATTTACACCCCCCATTTATTTTCAAAGTGCCCTTGGGCATATACCTCTCTCCACCTGCAAAGGCTCACATGTTTCACAAGCACCTAAATTGAGGGCTACCCTTCCAGAAGATAAACCAGTAAACAAATTACAGATACATAAAAGCTTCTCAATGATGGCAGAAGCTCTACATCTTGGAGAAGTCATTGTGATAATCGAAATGACCTAGAATAGCCAGCGTCAAGTTCAACAGACCTCCTGATTACTAAATAGAAAGTATGGAAGACCCAAACGAGTCACTGCATTTGGTGACAAGCATGGCTAGTATTTTTTAGAGGTGGTTGAGAGGTATGTGCCTCAGAGACAAGAAAGGTGAGAAAGACTTCCCCACCTTTCCACACAAAGCAATAAATATATATAGCACTCTGGGTTTGAAGGGGGCGAGGGGCACAGCCCTCTCCACACTGCGCTTAGGAAGGCTGAGCTTACCTTGTGATAATAAGATCAGCTTTCTAATCTTTTGCTAAATCGATCACAAAAGAAAGCAAGAATGAGAGACAGAGAGAGAGAAAGAGGGAGAGAAAGAGAGAGAGAGAGAAAACAAATTCACATTCTAGACATTTGGTTTTTAAAAAAACAAACAACAATATAGGGATTTTAAATGTTCTGATCACAAAATCATTTTCTGTCATAAGCGATCATCTCATATGCTGTCTTGATGATTTTTAGATCAGCTGCATAATCCAAAAATCATAAATGAAATTAAGATAAAACAAATTCACAGCATCAGCGTCATCCATAAATGAGTTCTACACAGATGCATGCAGGGTGCAGACAGGTGAATGATGAACAGAAGTTGTCCCCATGATCCCTGCTCTGACACAGTCTCCCCGTTTCTTGGTGTCAGATGGCAGATACTCTCTCCAAGTGCAGGTTGCTAAGCAGAGTGCAGGAAATGCCTACTGCGACATATGGGTATGACACCACCAGAGCTATTACAAGAACGTGGAAATAGAGTTACACTATGCACTATCACTCTGCTGACAAAACAATCTGCCAGCTATAAGCAGCTCAGGAAATCGTACACTTCGCTGTTTATTATGTTGAACACCCTCCCTCCCTTTCTTAATTTCACAAGCACACATTTTGCAACTGACTGCAATCTAGAACTCTGTGTTGCTTCTCAGACATCTGCAGTTACCACTCCTAGACTGACTGCTGAGAACACAGCAGTCACGTAAAGAAACACTGAATGAGGAAGAATAAATTAACATTGACAAAAGGACCGACTGATCACCCAGATGGACATATCTTTTCTAAAATGACTTGTGAAATTACACATCTCCACCGATATGTTACCAGGAAGAGATGTTTCTCCTCATTTCTCACTTACAGCAATAGAAATCTGTAATCTAATTAGATGATGTACCAGCCCTCAATATCTGTCAGCCAAACGATGTGCAGAAATGTGTAGACCCGCTCTGGCCCTCGGCTCAACAGTGTCCCTTTTCCGCTGTCAGCAGTACTGTTGGCCTCTGCTAATATAATTACATTGACTTTTATTCAATTAAGTGCCATCCTTCGGTTAAAAAAAAAAGCTACTTTATCAATTGATTCAGGTGTAATGCAATAATAAAGATGAACTCATGGCAGTGCATTAGCTCTGCTGTTCGTAACTTCAGTACATGGGTTCATTCATGGTAGTCGATTTCCATTATGCAACCACAGTTCAAGGGAATTGATTCTTTTATGTTCATTTCTTAATTTATTCCATTTTTGTTTAATAATCCTCCTAAATGCCATATGCAAAACACTTGAAGTGGGGACAGGAAGGATGAGCTGTGGCAAGCCTGCTAGTTGACTCTCATGATAGTGAGCTTTTGAGATTTTCTAACAAACTCACACAGTATCGCTGGGGTAGTAAGAGGAAAAGCAGGAGGAGAAAGACTGAACTCCTTAGAGTACTGATCCTGTCCCTTCAGACGTTAGGTTCAGCCTCTAGAGAATGGACAAATGGCAGCACTTGCTTTTAACAAAGACCTATTGTCAGACTCTGGCATCAGCCAATCCAAACCATTAACTGTCACAAAATACTGTTTTCGTGAAGAGATACAAAGACCTGGGGCCAACAGCAACTTTCAAGTTTATTTGGATCAGAGAAGTGAAGAGGTAAGCAGAAAGGGAAGATGAAAAAGGCACAGAAAGAACTCATGCTATACACAGAGGATCCCCAAATGGGAGGAAAACCTCAGAGTTCTGGAAATAGGAGGACCCCCTTGTAGAGGAAGAGGAAGCCATATGCAGTTGTATAAGTGGAGGAAGGAATCCACGAAGGAACCAATTTTGAGTGCTCTAGAAAGAGAGATGGTTTATCTAGAAAACAGACTGTTTTGAATGTTTGTCTCCAGAAAAGGGGGAGAAATAATCATTAACAAAATTCCAGAATGTATTAGAACTTATATATTACGAGATTATAACTGTATAAAAGCTGTTTCTACTTGCTTTGATTAGGTCAGCAATAGAGATATGAAGAGGCAAATTCCTCTCACAGAAAAAAAATGACTGGGGTAGAGAGAGAAGATGAATTCACCAGCAGAAATGATAAGGTTCTGGTATTATTAGGGATCTGGTCTTCATGAACACAGTAGTGCTTATTAAAAGACTAGTTCAAAACTTAGCTCCAAGATGCTCACTTTCAAGAATAACACAAACTAAATCTGATTCGACCTCCAGTCTCTTGCAGTAGACTGCTTTGCACATGGGAGATGCTGAAAAATACATTTATTTGCTTTCAATCAATATTATGCATGAGTCTTAAGAAGCTTTCCCAAAAATGCACTGTAGAAAACAATGATCCCAAGATTGGAATCATGTAACAGAGGAATATTTAAGCAAATACAATGGTAATACAGCAGAGGGTAATTCTGACCCCATTAATAACCCACTAGTGTGGTGCAAGGAACTGCTATGTAATTAGGGCATGAAACAGTCCTATACTTTGGGCTATGCTTGGAATTACAATGTTCCCTCAGACCCTCTGCACTCTTTCCTAACCATTCCATACTGTGAGTTTACCAAAACCTCTTGAAGACTAAGATCACCCTTAAAAGCAAAAAGTAACGAGGTCTATATTATATAGGAGAGATCATAACACCAAACTTATTTTTTGAAATGCTAAGTAGAAGTGTGTGTGTGTGTATACTAGTATGTATATATGTATATATATGGGGATAGAGAGATACATTTACATCCAATCTGGAAAAATCTAGATGCCAGGTTTGAGTGTACTGTGGGATATTGAATCAACAATATTCCTGGACAGAAATGTAAATCTGCTATCCAAATTGACAGAAGAAAAATTAATTTTGCCCCACTTAATTCTCTTCTTATCTGGCTTGCTATAACACTACCTGTTGTCCTTAACTGCTCAAAATTTTTATATTACCATTTATTAATGGTAGGATACTTAGTCTTGTGAATTAAATGACATTTTTGATAGTATGCATTTCTGCAAAAAACTAGTCTGTTTTATAGGTTATTATTTAAAAATTCTCTCCAGAAGATCTGAAAACCATTCCTAGCTCAGAAAAAAAAAATTCAATGTAAAATTCTAGTGAACAACATTTTTTAAAAAAATACATAAAGTACATATTAAATGCAAGATGTAAAAAAGCTAAGCAAATTCTTGCAAATTAAAAGTATGAAATGCAGTCACTTCAATCCCTTTCAATATAAAACAAATCATCCACACTGGTCACGCAGACAGTTCCCACTACATTCAAATTATTCACTTGAAGATAAGCTCCCACCAAACTCTTCAGGGGTTTAGCTAATTTACTGCACAGATACGGCACGTCTGTTGTAATAACAGGTAGGATGTATTGGGGTCGACCATTTATCAGAATTAGACTTCTTTTCTCAATTCGC